CTAAGGGGTTCTTCATTTGAATCATTATTATGATGAACTGCTCTCTCCCTTCCTCCTCTCCTATAGAGTCCAATGTGGGCATTTACTTTCAAGATTTATGTAAGTTTTTAATATATATAGCGTGAGGCGTAAGCCTTCATTCCAGTGAGGCGAGGCGGGCCTCAACCAAGTTAAGGCGCAAGCCTCATAAAAAAAACTCGAGGCGTGAGCGTCGAGGTGTTTTTACTGGAATTGGCACAAGGCAGGCCTTCAAGACGAGCCTCATATGCGCAATTTTAAACTTATGATTAAATCAATAGGATATAATCGAATAGGGCACAAATCCTTTGTTAGCTAAGGTGGATTTAAATTTGTCCCCGTAGACAAGTACCACCCCAGGTTTATAAGGTCCCCTTGGATGAAGCAACCCATGGCTGCCGACAAGGATCCTTCTATCAGGTTGGTGCGATCACTTCTTCCTTTGACTAAGTAGACCAGGATCATTATGGCCCAATGAATGGAACGTATTGAGACAGTTGGATCTTGATCGGGTACATCATCCATTCCCCCACCATCAGCTTTAAGTGCGACGATGGTGCAATTTCTCAATATTTAAATACAAATCTTCCAAACCTGAACTTCCAAATCCCAAACCCATGCTACTTACTGTATGCCAGAAAACAACGTATTCTCTACGTATCTGATTGACAATTAGCCTTAATCGAAGTTCTCTCTCATTATCAGGAGGGGCTTACGTCTATAGGAAATTAGAACTCAGATAATAAAGTCGTCATAAAATGAGGGAGAAATTCCTGGGTAGTGTCTTATTCAAAAACCCATCAGCCTTCCAAAATTTTAACCCTGAAAACTTAATTCGTTAAAAACTCACCCAAAGAAAAGCAGAGCGGGGGGAGGCCGGGGCCGAATTTTTGAAGCCGCACAGGATAGTATTAAGAAAGATGCTATTCAACTCTTAAAAAAAAAAAAGACAACAGGCATTACAAATTTCAGCCTTCCCCGCATTAGCTCCACAAACCGCTCTTACAAAAAAGCTATAGCTGCTCCAAACAGGCTCTAGTTATTTAGCTAATGCATCTAGTAAGGGGAATTACATTAGCAATTAAACTTAGGTCTTTTTTATTTTTATAGGTTTAGGGATGCAAGATCGTCCCTACTATGCTTCAGTATCCTTGATTATGACAATGCTATTATTCTAGCTTTTTCCTAACTTGAATAATGCAACGATGTTCATGACTTAACAATATATGAAAAGCATATATGCTCTGACTTAACAAATATATGGAAAGCCTAGTTTCAAGTGTGACCACATTCTAACCAGAATTATAGATTCAGACTATTGCCATGTTTTGTCCGATATGCTGCTCATGGTGCTTTTTTGGTAATCTGGTATCTTCACTTAACTTTTGGCTGGCAGCAGCAGTTTATATTTTAATTTAAGTTCTTATTAAGGATTTCAAGAAGGATTTCTGGAGCTCGCTACAAGTTGTTGGAGCAATTATCTTCTTTATGGTTTTTGAAGCCAACGATGCCTTCACTAAGGCCCCGTTTGATTGCGCCATTCCTTTTGCATAAGGCGGTACTAGGAAGCAAGTTGCTCAGTAAACGAAGTTCTCCCAAAAAAATTTTAAGCAAAATATTATTTGTTTGGTTACAATTTTCTTTTTCCTGCGTACGCAAACGTAAATCTGATTAAAATACATATTTTTGCCCTCTAACAATCAATAAATTTTTTGGAGACGAACAGACCTCTATCGTATCTTCAATGCCAATCAACTTCGATGGCGTCCATACCGCGACGGTACCTGCATCACTACGGAATAACTTTGTGATTTCAAGGCGACCGGCGCTGTCCCATATTCACTCTGCAGCAAACCTATACGGACCACCGCAGATGCCGGTGAGAAAGGAGCTTATGCTTTTGCCGCAGCACTCCCGAAAGCTTTGCAAGTGCTTTTCCAACATATGACTTTCTACATGAATATTGTGGTCATCTTAAAACATATTCGTATTTTTGATTTCCCCTGATTCTGTGGAATTCCCTTTCTCTTCGTTGCAGCGGCGAAGGCTGAGAAGAGGCCTTTCTCCAGCGGAGCTAGTTGCTCGACATGTGATTCCGGCAAGTGAGAGTGACTGATGATTCTAATGATTCTGGAGGATTGTGCGAATAACTGTTTTCATTCCATCAGCAAAAAAGCTTGCTTGCGGCGATTATGCAATGGTTGCGATCCTCCCTGATTCCGTGTGCGAATTTCTGGCGTGATTCATCTACCTTTTCTCTCTCTTTCGAGATTCATTCATACATAAGTTTTGTCCTGTTTAAGCAGATAGGGGAAACACAACTTCCCTGATAGCTGTAAATTCAAAACCACAAATATGCATCCATACGAATTGAAAGCAATTATAATAATACTTACCTCTTGATGTAGTGCAGGAATCTTGCAAATCCCATGTGTGCTCACTAATTCTATCTGGGATTCTTCATAGACTCCACTATCCTCCAGCAGTATGCAGCAACATTAAAATAACAAATTTCCTGTTTTATAAACGTATATATAATCTACCACTAAACCAACTGTTAAAATCATAAAAAACAATGATTGCTTATCATAATTTCAGGGTTTCTTTGGTTCAAATGACTAACATAAGCGTTTCTTCCAATTATCACTGAAATGTTGCATAAAGTGTTCTATTGAAGAAAAAATTCATATCTAAATTTCTCTTCTTAAATTCCTCAAACTGCACAATTAAAATACATAATCTAAACATGTTCCTTTCAACTCCAACAGCAAACTCTATATAATATATTTATTACTTCAACTCTATGTAATATAATAAGTAACAGAGAAATATCTTCCGTTTAAATTTTACAAATGTACAAGCAAGCAGAGAACTCTACATCAAATAAAGACTATGCTTTATTTTTCTTTTCTTTTTTATATAACTGCATTACAAAAATAAAGATAAGTATGCCATTGATTGATTTTGCAACAATTCAGGTATTATAACATCTGATATTTAAAGGGGAGTTAATATTAGCTAAAACTTCACATAACCTATTTCTTAAGTTTTTTTAAAGCCACAGTAACAAAATTAAATTCTACTTACCAAATATGGGCTAGTATTACTAACAACAATAGACATTCAACTTGAACTCAACAACAATAACTGTTTAATATTACCACACAAAATCTACTAATTCTTTTACTAAACATAACTTCTTCGGCAACTCAACTTCTCTCAAGCATATGAACAAAAACTCTAACAAATATAACAATAAACTTAAATCATCATATTCTTTATAAAGTTACTCTCCTTCACCTTCCACTTTCTTAGCATCACATCTCATCTGCACACCTGAAATATAAATACAAAAAATATAAGTCATTACACACTTCATCATAAATAGCAAAATAAAAACACAAAACATGATTTTTCTATAATATTAACATTTCACAACAATTAATCATATAATTGTATTACCTACTAAAGTTGTACAACTGCATCGCAATATTATCTCTAAGCTCTTTCATTTCAGTTGCACCTTCACCATCAGTGAAAATAATGTCATTATCAACACAAACATTTATGTAAACTTGTTCTGTAACTCTGTCTATATTACTGTCACAATATTCAAAATTTTCATTCATTGTCATACTCATTCAAAATCAGGATCGACCATTGATTTATATCTTCGTATAAAATTATGCAACACCATTGTAGATACAACTATTAAGATGTTGTTTCTTATCAATAAATTTGGCATATCACGTTAGAAATTCCCATTTTTTTTTTCCAAAAACACCAAATGCACGCTCAATTATACTTCGTAATGAGGAATGTCTCTTGTTGAATACTTCCCTTGTGACCCCTTCAGGTTGATTACCTCGTATAAAATCAGCTAAATGATAATCTAGTTTCTGGGTAGGCTTCAATATCCTCTTTGTAAAGGATAAGCTGCATCAACTAAGTAATATTTACCTGTTCACAAATTTACAAAAATTCATTATATATGACCATTTATATATTACAAAAAAAAATGATACAAACTCATGTATCATAAACTTACCTTGCTGGTGTGTAGGAAAATTAAATCTAGGATTTTTCACAGCATTGATGAAAAATACGAGCAATCAATGAGTTGAAGCCGTCTTCCATCCTTGTCTGAAACAAATGTAAAACATATGTTGAAATCACAAGTAGCCATTACATTCTGAGTTGTTTTATGATGTCGTCCTATGAATGGAATTTGATCTTCCACAGGAATTCTTGCATCAATGAGCGTTCCATCAATTGTCCCAATGCAATCTCTAAAATATGGCATATACCTCATATCCTTACGGATGTGTACTGGAATATTTTAAAATTGCTTATCTTCGGGTGAAATAATATCCAATGACAATTGAGCTAATGCTTCAATTCCAACAGAGAAATATCTACTAATAGTTTATGTTGAATGCTGGAATCTTTTAGCAGTTGCTCGAATAAATTCATTCTGACTTAAAATAAATAATGTAATGGCAAGTACTTCTTTAATGCAAAGCATCCCGTGTTTTGATTCCAGTAAACATACCAAGTCGTTGAAAATGATTTGTGACATTCTAAAAATATTATGAAATCTAACAGGATGGCCAAAAATTAACTCAGAAATCCATTTATTTCCAGTTTGTGTAGATGTCATGCATGCTTTTTTGTTTATGTAAAGTGAATAGTAATCATGTATTAGAAAGCTTGAAGCAAGCAAGACATTATTAAATTGAACAATTGTCTTGTTCTTGTTATCTGACTCAACTTCTTCTTCAAACTCATCACTTGAACAATTCTCATTCTCATCATACATTGCTTTTCTGTTTCAATTAAAAAAATTAGTAATTAGTAAACTGACTAAATATATGAAGCAAATAACTTTTCTCTCTTACTTTGTTAATCATGATAACGTTAGATAATGTTTTACCTTTTTTTCCTATATGCGTAGGAACAACCCAATGGAGGAAAGTGCAGGATCGGTTGAAGGATGATGAAAGATGTTCTCGACTAGAAAAAATTGACCGTCTTAAGATTTTTCAGGTGACTCACCCTCACCTTAGTTTTCAGCTTTTTGGGTTCTTCACTTAACAGTATTGCGTTGCAGGAGTAAATTCAAGATCTAGAGAAGGGAGGAAGAGGAGCAAAAGAAGATACATAGGGTTCTTTCTATCTCTTGTCACCATAATTTATATGTTTGTCTTTGATATAAAAAGTCTTACAATAGTAATTATAGGAGCAATTACGGCGCCAAGACACACTGGCGTGATTATTGTATGAAGGTATTTTGGTTTATTTTTAGGAAGGTGACATTGCTGCTGGCATTCTTATAGCTAAGACACACTGGCGTGATTATTGTATGAAGGTATTTTGGTTTTTTTTTTAAATGTATTATTGTTATTTTAGGCTGTTAAATTTTTTTTTATGCCTTCTCTTTTCATTAAGGTCAAGGATTCCTGATCATATCTGGCAGTAGCATCAAACATGCAACTTTCCCTTGCTTGGTAGAGACGGTGCTTCTAGTTTTAAAACTATGTAGTATTATTATCATGAAGGTAATGCATTTCATACAGTTGTTGTTGATATGAATGCTCCTGCTATTTGTGCTGTTGATTATGTGGTATATCTAGTTTTTCCTTTGTATTTCAAAATTTGTATTTGAAGCATGAAATAAATATTTTCTTACTCCCATTTAAGGCATCGAACAGAGTGAACTAACCTTAGAAGTTCTTCATGCACTCAATATTCTGTTGAAGAAGTTGTAAATACATATGAAATTGTTAGATTCAGTTGAATGCATTTTAATACAGGTCACCTTTTCACAATCGACTTAATTCATTTCAAAGAAATGTTACCTTATTATTGTATCTAGTGTACATTAAGCATGTTACAGAAGTAGTATGTGCATTAATTAATTATTTAAATTGTTTTAATTTAAGAAAATCAGAATAATCTTCTGTAATAAGGAACGCCTCCATAACTCATAGAATTTTTCACTTATGAAGTAAAAGAAACTGATTCAGTTTTGTTTAAAGTACAAGCTCCGGAATACTTGAAGAACACTAATTTGTTTAAATATTTAAAAAGGTTAAAAAAAGAAGATGTTAGAGTAGAATGATACAGAGGACATGAAGTAATCCTCTCCATGTATGTCGGAGTAATATGATTCAGCTGAAAAAAAAAAATTGAAAACATCATGGTACGGTAGATAATAAATTGATGCTTACCACATTTATGTAAAATCTACGGGAAGATTACATACCTGTTATAGTTTTGAATAATTTAAAAAAAAAAAACAATTCAAAACATTGCTATTTCCAAACATAATCACACAATCTAATACATAACCAAAGAAAATACATTTCAATATAATTCTAGTTGAAACTTTTGTTCAAGCATCGTCTAAGCCACCAAACTTTTTGCTCATTTGGGATTCCCATAAAACTCTCTCGAGTGTTTTCTCTTGTAAGAACTCAATTGCTAAATAATATAATTCCAAATCATCTTAAATTTCTGGTATGGTAGATATCTCTGCGACCGCATCAAGTATTGTCACTGTTCTACGTTGACTAGTTGATGTTGTTATGGCAGAGCTCATTGATTGTGCAGCATTAACTAAACTTTCAATATGATTAACAAATAGTTGCTTCCTCGCTAACTTAGCTGATTTAACTCTCTTCCTTTTTGGGAATGGTGCTGAACTTTGAGATCTTTGGGAAGCAGTTGCAAATGTAGCTTCTTCTCCATTACCTATTTCTATATGTGGGTCATCATCATGTAGGTCATCTTCCTCAAATGAATTATGTTGTTTGTCTATTAGTTCAGAGGGTAAAATGCCAGAGTTCGGAATCCATACATTGTCGCCAGTTGCGACAATGCGACTGAACATTATTTCATGTTTTGTTCGAGCTCTGGTGGTATTCCGTTAAACCTAAACTTCTGTCTTGCAGGTACAACCTACATAAGTGAGAACATGCATTTGTTCAATATTTTTAAAATTTTTAATTAGTATTACCTGTAGTTTATCATTCCATCATTCATTAGAATCATCTATGGTTCGCTTTATTGGATTCCACTCTAATCCAGTCTCCCCACGCAACAAATCTTTCCACAACTTCCAATCCTTCTTCAACTGATCCCACTTATTCCTTTAAGTTGTGTACGATCATGATGGAATTTTCCAGTACGAATTAAATTCGTTCATAAGTTTGTCCAACCCTCCTTATTGAAATGGGTGTTAGGTTTATTACCCAATTCGATTTCCCCGATGCATATGTCACAATAGATAATGTGCCTATTTAGACATCAACCAATGTTGCTGGTGGATCCAAATTTCCTCTTTGTTTTTCTCCATCTTACAAATTCCAACACAATACGATTAACTGTAATTCAATAAAAAAAAATGAATTAATTGTAAGATCAATTGAAATTGGAAAGATTTTAAAATGAGAAAGTCTGTGCTTCGTACTTACTGAATATAATTACGAATTCAAACTCTTACTAAATTTTGACACGAGATGATGAGTATAAAAAAAAATATCTTATATATATATATATATATCAGATTATGGCTACTTCGGCAATGATAACAATCAAATGTTAAAATGAACTTTCCGACACAGGCATTTGATAGTGATCCCAATTCAAACTACTGGAAATGGACCAAACATAGATACTAATTAACCGATTGAATGAACACAAACATATATACTAATTAAGAATGAAAAAAAAAAATCATTGAATACGAAACCAGTTAAAAAACATAAGAAGAACAAAGAAATGCAAAACGCTTTCCTTAAACCACCGCCGGAGAAGAGTGCCTGGAGAAAGTGAAAAGTTACCTTGAAGTGGTGCGTTGATG